TCAACAACTCCAACAAACTGTTTATTACCTGCCATTTTCGCTGCCCAAATTTTCGTCGTTTTCGTCTTTTCAAGACCTTTGATTTCGATACAAACCTTACATTAGCACATCGTACCTTATACCGTCTGGACGACAATGATACACAATGGTCCCCCATTTTTAAGTTAAAAGTAACGTGACTATGTTCCGCCCAATAGCTATTGACTTCCACTGCGTCAATTCTAGCCCACGCGAACGTACACCGCGATGAATTGTTGTTTTCATCATAATCTGTTAAACACACACCATCGCCCCAATGGTTGTGTCTGTCTGTCCACCTGTCAAACCGCTCACAACACGCAACTATCATTAGTATCAACTCGTCACACGCCATCAAGACTCCCGCCATAGTCTCCGCCACGCCCCGAAACACACAACACAAGTGAACACAGCTCAGCATCGAACACACATTTAAACTCTCACTCCGGCTGTGCGCAGCGAGCCAGTCTAGACTACCAAACGTCCGCGTCAAAAGAACAGCAAGATGACGGGAAATGGCGGTAACACCTTGCGTGTATTTCAAGAGGGGGGTGTCTGTTGGTTCTAGTTTACTTTTCAACATCTGACATCGTGTGGTCTCATTCCACACGTTAGACATCTTTAAATTCTCGCTTGTGACATCAACATTATCTCGTAGGTCACAGGCTAAAAAACACAAACTGTCGTGTTGGGAGGCGGAAGCCGATGTTAAAATGCCCTGTTGGTTAACTTTAGCCGAATGTATGCTGCTCTGTTGGTTAACTTTAGCCGAATGTATGCTGCTCTGTTGGTTAACTTTAGCCGAATGTATGCTGCTCTGTTGGTTAACTTTAGCCGAATGTATGCTGCTCTGTTGGTTAACTTTAGCCGAATGTATGCTGCTCTGTTGGTTAACTTTAGCCGAATGTATGCTGCCCTGTACGAGAAAGCCTGTTGATGTCTCTAGCCTTTGGTTAACTTTAGCCAAATGTATGCTGCCCTGTACGAGAAAGCCTGTTAATGTTTCTAGCCTTTGGTTGCTCCCCCTGCGATCTACACCAGCTGTTTGACCCACTGGGGTAATCTCAATACTCCAAATGTGAACGGTACTTAAAACCAGAATGTTTGAAGTGTGAACTGAACTTATGTTTTGTTCATCAACAAAATGACTATCGTCTTCACAACCATCCAGCACAGGACGCATATGACAAGAGCCAAGTTCTGCGGCCCCAACACAACACTCTACATCCAATCGTGTCGCTCCACTGACGAGTTCCTCATTGCCAACTCGACACTCCCAGAGTTTTCCCATCACCCATTTGTTGGTTACAACAGAAATAACTGTCTTTGTCGCGGTAGTTTCAGTGAACTCGTCCTGAATGCGATGAAACGATTGGCTGTAGGCAATAATTCTTCGAGACGTGTAGCCAATCACAGCACATTCAGCTTGCCTTGACCCGAGCACTGAAATAGAGAGTGCATCCTATGCACATCAATGTGGTGCACAAAAAAACGAAGCGAAAACCGGCATTTGCAACGAAACGCAAATTTTTCTTAAAAAAATTAATCTACTTTTGAGACGGTTTTTTTTCTTTGCGATTTAGTTATAACACATTTTAACGTGATGTCCGGGGTCATAATAATCTATTATTGCTATTTATTTAATTTACGTTCAACTAACTGTTTAAACGTAGATAACTAACTAAAAACATAAAAGGGAATTTTTATTTACGGTTTGAGGAATTCAGGATTAAAAGATTATTTTTGAACGAATAACAATTGAATCCGACAATTCGCCCGGTATTTATATCTACAGTAACAAAGTCTGCGCCGATTGTCAAAAATCATGTCCAGTGAGTGTTGTTTGGGGGGAGGGCTTGGAGATGTGGGTGGGGATGTCATCAAGTGAAGAAAAAAGTATGTTGACCAAATTAAAAACACAAACAACGTTAGACAAGGTGAACGAAACAAAAGAAACTGTGTACTTCAGGGTACGTGTGCTCATAAAACCAACCAATCGAAAACAACGGGCGCTCCTTACCGTCACCGATCAGCGACCCGGCCAGGGGTTTGTCACCCCCGGGCATCCACCAGTTCTCCGGGGGTTCGAGCTGCACATCCGTCGGGGGGATCCAGCCGTGCATGGCCCACTCCTCTACCACTGCCGAGTCGAGGGACTGTCTAGAGCAAACAGACGACACGGGGGTTAGCTCCAGTTTAGTGGGGGGGGGGGGGGGGTAAGGGAGGGACTGTCTAGAGCAACCAGACGACACGGGGGTTAGATCCAGTTTACTGGGTGGGGGGAGGGGGGGGGGCAGGAAATAACTTCCCTCTGTCAATAACCCCACCCAATGTTATTTCTACCCTGTCATTTCCCCCCCCCCACAGCGTCAATCACCACACCTCCATCATTGACAACCCTGTCAGGTAACTACATTACAGGTGGACATGATCCCCTGTCAGTTACAATCTGGTCATGTAAAGATGGTCGCGGATAGGGGTGGGTTAAGGTTATTTTATGTTACGGTTAGGGAAATGGTAGGGACATGTATAGGGATAGGGTTATAGTTATGGCTGGGGTTAGGCATAGAGTTAGGGTAAAGGTTAGGGCTAGGGAAATGTTAGGAATATAGATGGCAATAAGGATATAGTTTGGGGTTAGGGTAGTGACGGATTGTGAGAGTTACGGGGTTAATGGTCGGGTTAGGGATAGGGATACTTAATGGTATTAAGGTATGATATGTATTGTAAAAAGGGGGCGGGGCTAACTAACAAGAGGGGGGGGGGGGTGATTAATCCGAGTGATAGGGCAATGACCGGGTGTTAAAATTTAAGAGGGGGTAATGACCAAGTCACAATAGAGATATAGTTGAATGGGGGTTGGATATATACTAAAAACGTTGATGTGAAGCAGCACCAGACAGACTAAACCGACTCAACACCTGACTGACTAAACTGACACAACACCTGACTGACTAAACTGACACAACACCTGACTGACTAAACTGACACAACACCTGACTGACTAAACTGACACAACACCTGACTGACTAAACTAACACAACACCTGACTGACTAAACTGACACAACACCTGACTGACTAAACTGACACAACACCTGACTGACTAAACTGACACAACACCTGACTGACTAAACTAACACAACACCTGACTGACTAAACTGACACAACACCTGCCTGACTAAACTGACACAACACCTGACTGACTAAACTTACACAACACCTGACTGACTAAACTGACACAACACCTGACTGACTAAACTGACACAACACCTGACTAAACTTACCTGAACCTGACGGAGAGCGGGATTCTGCTAGGGCGCACCCCTTCCATCAAATCCTCGCGCCATCTCCGGTACCGCATGAGAATGTCATGCCGTTTTCTCGGGGTCGCCCGGGTGTCGGTCTTTAGAGGGATGCTAGAGCGGATGTTCCAGTTCTGGGTAGGCTTGCATGAGAGGGGCTTGACGGGGCGGATCTCCGGCAGGCTCAGGAGTACCTGGTCCCAGAGGGAGGACGCCTCTTTCTCTACAGTCTCCTTGCTGCTCCTGTGTGAGAGGTTGGATATGTGAGGGACACCTCGATACTGAGGAAGACATCTGTGGGACGTATCGATACTCAACTATGGCGCAGGTTAATGTATAACATATCTGTTGGGGGTATCGATACTTGGTTATGGGTGAGGTCAATGTATCCGTAAGATATGAGGACGTATCGATACTGAGCTATGGGTGAGGTCAATGTATGTGTAAGATTTCTGGTGACGTATCGTTCCTGTGCTATGGTATAAGGTTAAGATCTCACTGACAAACTTTCAATATATTTGACACTGTTCTATGTTTATTTACAGATGTTAATATAAACCATTATTACTTTTAAATAATTACTATTTAAATTTTGAACTAATATAACAAAGAGCGCCTGGGAAACATGATTTAACAAAGAGCGTCTGGGAAACATAATTTTACAAAAACGTCTGGGAAACATAATTTAACAAAGAGCGTCTGGGAAACATAATTTTACAAAAACGTCTGGGAAACATAATTTAACAAAGAGCGTCTGGGAAACATAATTTTACAAAAACGTCTGGGAAACATAATTTAACAAAGAGCGTCTGGGAAACATAATTTTACAAAAACGTCTGGGAAACATAATTTTACAAAAACGTCTGGGAAACATAATTTAACAAAGAACGTCTGGGAAACATAAAATAATAAAGAACTTACAGCATTGTTTCCTCTCGCTTCAAGTTGCTCCAGTTCTGGAAATATTGAAAGAATCAGTCACGGGGTTGCGAGCACAAGGTTTTGGAACTATTTGCCGTTAAACTGTATGTCACAGTCATGTATAAACAAAATGTGTACAATTATGTGTACAAGAAAATGTGTGCAATAATGTGTAAAACAAGATATGTACAACTTACTGTTAAAGTGTTGGTCCTGGAAGGAATCTGCATGTGAGGCTGAAAAATAATAAGACAGTTTGTAAAGACAGTTTGTGAAGACAGTGAAGACAGTTGGTGAAGACACTTTGTGAAGGCACTTTATGAAGACAGTTGGTGAAGACAGTTGGTGAAGACAGATGGTGAAGACAGTTGGTGAAGACAGTTTGTGAAGACAGTTTGTGAAGACAGTTGGTGAAGACAGTTGGTGAAGACAGTTTGTGAAGACAGTTTGTGAAGACAGTTGGTGAAGACAGTTTGTGAAGACAGTTGGCAAAGACAGTTAGTGAAGACAGTTGGTGAAGACAGTTTGTGAAGACAGTTTGTGAAGACAGTAAAGACAGTTTGTGAAGACGGTTGGCAAAGACAGTTGGTGAAGACACTTTGTGAAGACAGTTGGCAAAGACAGTTGGTGAAGAAACTTTGTAAAGACAGTTTGTAAAGACAGTTGGAAAAGACAGTTAGTGAAGATAGTTTGTGAAGACAGTTGATGAAGACACTTTGTGGAGACACTTTGTAACCATATGACTGCATTATACGACAATGCGTGACTATTACCAAGTCAACCTTAACCTGCCACCAAGTCAACCTGAACCTGCCACCAAGTCAACCTGCCACCAAGTCAACCTTCCACCAAGTCAACCTTCCACCAAGTCAACCTGCCACCAAGTCAACCTGCCCCACCAAGTCAACCTGCCACCAAGTCAACCTGCCCCACCAAGTCAACCTTAACCTGCCACCAAGTCAACCTTAACCTGCCACCAAGTCAACCTACCACCAAGTCAAGCTGCCACCAAGTCAACCAGCCACCAAGTCAACCTGCCACCAAGTCAAGCTGCCACCAAGTCAACCAGCCACCAAGTCAAGCTGCCCCACCAAGTCAACCAGCCACCAAGTCAACCTGCCACCAAGTCAAGCTGCCACCAAGTCAACCAGCCACCAAGTCAACCTGCCACCAAGTCAAGCTGCCACCAAGTCAACCAGCCACCAAGTCAACCTGCCACCAAGTCAAGCTGCCACCAAGTCAACCAGCCACCAAGTCAAGCTGCCCCACCAAGTCAACCAGCCACCAAGTCAACCTGCCACCAAGTCAAGCTGCCACCAAGTCAACCAGCCACCAAGTCAACCTGCCACCAAGTCAAGCTGCCACCAAGTCAACCAGCCACCAAGTCAACCAGCCACCAAGTCAACCAGCCACCAAGTCAACCAGCCACCAAGTCAAGCTGCCCCACCAAGTCAACCAGCCACCAAGTCAACCTGCCACCAAGTCAAGCTGCCACCAAGTCAACCAGCCACCAAGTCAACCTGCCACCAAGTCAAGCTGCCACCAAGTCAACCAGCCACCAAGTCAACCAGCCACCAAGTCAACCTGCCACCAAGTCAAGCTGCCACCAAGTCAACCAGCCACCAAGTCAACCAGCCACCAAGTCAACCAGCCACCAAGTCAACCAGCCACCAAGTCAACCTGCCACCAAGTCAAGCTGCCACCAAGTCAACCAGCCACCAAGTCAACCAGCCACCAAGTCAACCTGCCACCAAGTCAAGCTGCCACCAATTCAAGCTGCCACCAAGTCAACCTGCCACCAAGTCAACCAGCCACCAAGTCAACCAGCCACCAAGTCAACCAGCCACCAAGTCAACCTGCCACCAATTCAAGCTGCCACCAAGTCAACCTGCCACCAATTCAAGCTGCCACCAAGTCAACCTGCCACCAAGTCAACCAGCCACCAAGTCAACCAGCCACCAAGTCAACCAGCCACCAAGTCAACCTGCCACCAAGTCAACCTGCCCCACTACGCACCAACCAACACATAAAACAAAAGCGACTTACTTGACTAGTTAAAGTTTCTCTGGAAGCTTCTCTCTGTAAAAGACACAATAATTAACTGTCACTGTGACACCTAGCAATTTACTGTGACAGTGACACGTAGCCATTAGTCACAATGACACATAGCAATTACAGTTACACCGACACACATGACATTCAACTGTTACAATGACACATCATATAACTGGCACTGTGGCATATGCCATTTCGTTGTCTGCTTATCTAGTTGTTAATTTTAATGTGTCTACTACTGATTACATAATTATTTAAACAGGTTTTTTTAAATGATTTCAAGTTCATTTAGAAATTCTCGAGACATAATAGAAACATATCGTCATAGTAGGTCGATATAAAAATCTGTTATTCAGGAATGTCAATTGCTTACTGGGGAGGTAAAAAAAAAACGAACTAAATCGGCACTTACGGGGGGGGGGGAGGAGAGAGATATTTTTAAAAAGCAACTTAAAATTGGGGAGTGGAATATTTTTTTAAAAATGGGTAAACTTTATATGACGTCACGCTTATGTGACCATATTTACCTCCCCCTCCCATCCGTCACAAAAAAAAGCCCCCCAACCCTAAAAATGACGTCACACATCAGCTTAACCCCCCCCCCCCCTCAAATTAGCAGCTTAAACTATTTTTTAACCGTCGATTTATTTCTCAAATGTTGTCTAAGGTCAGTTAACTTAGAGTAATTGTCACAAAGTTACGGACCCCTCCCCTTCCCCTTACGAGTGTGACGTCATGTATGGACGACCCCCCCCCCCCCTAACTTACCTGGGCCGATGCTTGTACAGTAGGTAGAGCTGCAACAGAAAGTGTTGGGCCTATTGAGCTCGCTTTCCTCGGCAGCTGTAAGACATCAAATTCAGTTGAGGGCAGGGTCAAGGTTAGGGTTAGGGTCAAGGTTAGGGTTACGGTCAAGGTTGGGGGTTAGGGTCAAGGTTGGGGTTAGGGTCAAGGTTGGGGGTTAGTGTCAAGGTTGGGGGTTAGGGTCAAGGTTGGGGGTTAGGATTTTAGACCAGACGGTCCATGGGGGAGATGAAGTAGATGAAGTAGAGCTGATGTAACACTGAGCTCGGCATTTGAAGAAATAACGTACTCGTAGTTGTGCCCAACCGCCTTTACACGCACCAAATAAGCCAGGTACCAATCAGAGCTGAGTTAACTCAGATACGTCTAATTCTTAGAAAAGGGATTGTTGACATCTGGTGTGGACCAGTGTTTGGGTATTTTGTTAGTTAGCCAGAGGGGAAGTTGTTGTAAAGTGTGTATCACTTCAACAAGAGGACAATCAAGGACTAAAAGCAGTATGTGGTCTGTTCTGGACCCAGTTCAAATGGACTTGCACACAGACATCACGAGATAGAACTAGAAACGTGGACAGACCTTAGCTATCTTAAGAGACTGCTGGGAAATGACCGCCCAAAACAGAGTCCTTTATGTAAGATTGCTTGATTACCTCGCATGTATATATGCTAAATCACTTGGCATAGATATGTTTGCTAGACATAAAACAAAATACACGCATACAAATTTACAAACGAATTGTCTTACCGATTCAGCCGTAGATTTTTTTTGACTCTGAAAGTAAATACAAATAAAGTTTTTCCTTAAAGGGGGAGGTTGGATATTACGAACAAAAATTGACGCCACCTGACACCACATGACACCACATGACACTACATGACACCACTTGACACCACATGACACCGCATGACACTACCTGACACCACATGACACCACATGACACTACCTGACACCACTTGACACCACATGACACAACCTGACACTACCTGACACTACCTGACACCACATGACACCACATCAGAGGCGTAGCGAGGGGGGGGGGACGGGGGGTGCGGACCGCACCGGGTGACACCAATTAGGGGGGTGACAACAAGGCAAAAAATTGCAAAATATATAGAGAAAATATTGAGGGGGGGTGCAAATCGAAAACTTGAGGGGGGGGGGGGGTGCAAATCGAAAGTTTGAGGGGGGTGCAAATCGAAAGTTTGAGGGGGGGGGGGTGCAAATCGAAAATTTGTCCCCGGGAAGTCCCTACACCTTTCGGGGGTGACACCATTAAGTGCCGCACCGGGTGACACCCGACCTCGCTACGCCACTGCACCCAATGACACCTATTGACACCACCTGACATCACCAGACACCACTAACATATCTCACCTTGACCGTGCTGTGTTTTTCTCGACGTTTCTCTTTCGCGACCCATTTCTCTTTTTGTGATTTCTGTGGACGGCAAGCAAGAAATGTGGTTACGTCACGGCAAGCAAGAAATGTGGTTACGTCACGGCAAGTAAGAAATGTGGTTACGTCACGGCAAGCAAGAAATGTGGTTACGTCACGGCAAGCAAGAAATGTGGTTACGTCACGGCAAGCAAGAAATGTGGTTACGTCACGGCAAGTAAGAAATGTGGTTACGTCACGGCAAGCAAGAAATGTGGTTACGTCACGGCAAGTAAGAAATGTGGTTACGTCACGGCAAGTAAGAAATGTGGTTACGTCACGGCAAGCAAGAAATGTGGTTACGTCACGGCAAGTAAGAAATGTGGTTACATCTCATTCTACCTTCCAGAACAGAAACAAACTTTTATAAACTCACTAATCCTTAATTTAAACATATAAAACCTGTTAACACCTGCATTGACTGCCTCCAACTTACCGTTTTAACACCTGCACTGACTTCCTCCAACTTACCGAACTTTTTACCACCTGCATTGACTGCCTCCAACTTACCGAACTTTTTACCACCTGCAGTGACTTCCTCCAACTTACCGAACTTTTTACCACCTACATTGACTGCCTTCAACTTACCGAACTTTTTACCACCTGCATTGACTGCCTCTAACGAACTTTTTACCACCTGCATTGACTGCCTCCAACTTACCGAACTTTTTACCACCTGCATTGACTACCTCCAACTTACCGAACTTTTTACCACCTGCATTGACTGCCTCCAACTTACCGAACATTTTACCACCTGCATTGACTGCCTCCAACTTACCGAACTTTTTACCACCTGCATTGACTGCCTCCAACTTACCGAACTTTTTACCACCTGCAGTGACTGCCTCCAACTTACCGAACTTTTTACCACCTGCATTGACTGCCTCCAACTTACCGTTTTAACACCTGCATTGACTACCTCCAACTTACCGTTTTAACACCTGCATTGACTGCCTCCAACTTACCGAACTTTTTACCACCTGCATTGACTGCCTCCAACTTACCGTTTTAACACCTGCATTGACTACCTCCACCTTACCGTTTTAACACCTGCATTGACTACCTCCAACTTACCGAACTTTTTACCACCTGCATTGACTGCCTCCAACTTACCGAACTTTTTACCACCTGCAGTGACTGCCTCCAACTTACCGAACTTTTACCACCTACATTGACTGCCTCCAACTTACCGAACTTTTTACCACCTGCATTGACTGCCTCCAACTTACCGAACTTTTTACCACCTGCAGTGACTGCCTCCAACTTACCGAACTTTTTACCACCTGCATTGACTGCCTCCAACTTACCGTTTTAACACCTGCATTGACTACCTCCAACTTACCGTTTTAACACCTGCATTGACTGCCTCCAACTTACCAAACTTTTTACCACCTGCAGTGACTACCTCCAACTTACCGAACTTTTTACCACCTGCATTGACTGCCTCCAACTTACCGAACTTTTTACCACCTGCAGTGACTGCCTCCAACTTACCGAACTTTTTACCACCTGCAGTGACTGCCTCCAACTTACCGAACTTTTTACCACCTGCAGTGACTGCCTCCAACTTACCGAACTTTTTACCACCTGCATTGACTACCTCCAACTTACCGTTTTACCACCTGCATTGACTACCTCCAACTAACCGAACTTTTTACCACCTGCAGTGACTGCCTCCAACTTACCGAACTTTTTACCACCTACATTGACTGCCTCCAACTTACCGAACTTTTTACCACCTGCAGTGACTACCTCCAACTTACCGAACTTTTTACCACCTGCATTGACTACCTCCAACTTACCGAACTTTTTACCACCTGCATTGACTACCTCCAACTTACCGAACTTTTTACCACCTGCATTGACTACCTCCAACTTACCGAACTTTTTACCACCTGCATTGACTGCCTCCAACTTACAGAACTTTTTACCACCTGCAGTGACTGCCTCCAACTTACCGTTTTAACACCTGCAGTGACTGCCTCCAACTTACCGAACTTTTTAACACCTGCACTGACTGCCTCCAACTTACCGAACTTTTTACCACCTGCAGTGACTGCCTCCAACTTACAGAACTTTTTACCACCTGCATTGACTGCCTCCAACTTACCGAACTTTTTACCACCTGCAGTGACTGCCTCCAACTTACCGTTTTACCACCTGCAGTGACTGCCTCCAACTTACCGAACTTTTTACCACCTGCAGTGACTTCCTCCAACTTACCGAACTTTTTACCACCTACATTGACTGCCTCCAACTTACCGAACTTTTTACCACCTGCAGTGACTGCCTCCAACTTACCGAACTTTTTACCACCTGCATTGACTACCTCCAACTTACCGAACTTTTTACCACCTGCATTGACTACCTCCAACTTACCGAACTTTTTACCACCTACATTGACTACCTCCAACTTACCGAACTTTTTACCACCTACATTGACTACCTCCAACTTACCGAACTTTTTACCACCTGCAGTGACTTCCTCCAACTTACCGAACTTTTTACCACCTGCATTGACTGCCTCCAACTTACCGAACTTTTTACCACCTGCATTGACTGCCTCCAACTTACCATTTTAACACCTGCACTGACTGCCTCCAACTTACCGAACTTTTTACCACCTGCAGTGACTGCCTCCAACTTACCGAACTTTTTACCACCTGCATTGACTACCTCCAACTTACCGAACTTTTTACCACCTACATTGACTGCCTCCAACTTACCGAACTTTTTA